TCTATGACATACCTCTCTGACCGTCAAACTAATATGATTGAGCAGGACAATTACAGGAAGGAGGCTTTTCAACTGGATTTAATTAAGAAATCTCATCTTGTTCTTTTGGCAAAAGGTCTATGGATAATTCCTTTACCACCTGCACTTACCCAAAAGGAAATATTATTGTGTGTTCTAGCTGCTAAGATTTGGGGTTCCCTGAAAGCTATTCATTTTTATTTATTGCTTATTTAAGTCCAAATTCCTGCCTATTTGAAAAGGTCTAAATAAAGAAGTCACCTGAAGAATTATTTTGTTTTCCTCCCTTCTCTATATATCTGTATGTTGTATTAGTAAAGGTACATAGTTTTGAACAGTGATTCTCTTGAATTCTCAAACACGTTTTGGACAAAGAGTTAGCCAACAAGTTGCAGTTACTACTTTATTATATTCCATTTGTCTGCCCATTGAAGGAAGCCTATAAACTTTGAAACAAAAAAGAAAATAAAAAAGTACAATAAACAATTTTTAGGCTGAATAATTTTATTTCTTGAGTTGCTTATTATATGTATATGATCATTCATCTCATATACAGGTCTCTGGGCTACTATCAGTTCAAACAAAATAAAACATGAGTAACATAAAATAGTTGCTGAGAATAATTACAACATCCCACAATTAATACTACCAAGAAATAAAGTATGTCAAATGGTGGATACTAATAATCATAATAATTGAAGCACTCTTTCAAAATTTCAGTCAGCCCAATAACACTGAATGAGATGTGTTCAAAATATTCACATTGGCAGCATGGAGAATCCTGACAGCTGCTTCACTCATCAACTTAACCAAAGTCTTTATGACTGATATAAAATGACAGCTGCACAGCTCTGCCTTTCTATATAAGAAAATAATTAAGTGAGCACTAAAATTCTTTTAGAGCACTGTCATAGGGCCTACAAAAGGTTAAAATTAAAATTCAGAGAAAGGTTTTGATTTGTACGGGTGGTGGGAAAAAACAATTTCTACAATTTTAAACTGAATACATTCTCAATATATTATTAAAATAATTTTTCCTCTTTTTAAATATGGACTGATAGAAGTTTCAGATCAACAACAGAGGTAGCTGATTTACTTAATCAGATAGGTCTTTAAAAATATTTGGCTGTTTTAATATTTGCTATATTCAATGATCAGTTGTTCAAGCTCCAAGTCTTGTACAGACTATTTATTAGAAAAACTTGAATATGCTTCATTTGAACCAAGAGTAACAACAACAAAAAAACTATAAGGAGATGCCAATAGGTTCCATACAGAAATTAAGACAATGGTGTACAGTCTTGCTGAGAAAATTACACTATGTACTAATTGCATGGTTTTGAACGAGTATGTAAGAACAAATCTGATGGGTAATATGAATAAGTATCTTTCGTCTCTTAACTTCCCTCAGGGTTCAACGTGATACCATTGGAAAGTCAATGAGAAAGTTGTTACCACTTTATCAATTTTTATAAAAACATCTCTTAGTGATTAACATGTCTTGGGGCAGGGTGTCATTAACATGCTGAATTTTCTGCCAGTTAGTTCATGACTGAATAAACCTGCCTTGGCCTGAAGATCACATAATGATTTGTGATATGTCCTCTGAGCATGGCATGGGTAAGAGGCGAGGTGAAAATGGATGCAATCAAAGCAGAAGATTGGCACCTACAGACTAGAACAGAGGTGGTATTCAGCAGGTTCTGACCAGTTCTGGAGAACCGGTAGCAGAAATTTTGAGTAGTTCGGAGAACCGACAAATACCACCTCTGGCAGGCCCCACCCCCATCTATTCTCTGCCTCCTGAGTCCCAGCTGACCGGCTGGATCTTCTTTGGTTGTCCTGCACAGGAGAATGGAGCTGGAAAGCAGGTTAATGGGATGGGGTGGGGAGGGAGTAGGGATTTTACAGTCTCCTTCCCCCAGGAGTGGGGAGGGAATGGAGATTTTGCAGTCTCCTTCTCATGCCACGCCCACCATGCCATGCCCACCAAGCCACACCACACCAACCAAGCTATACCACGCCCCCCAAGCCACGCCCACAGAACCAGTAGTAAAAAAAAATTGAATACCACCACTGGATAGGAGGATATGGAGGGGGCTGCCACAGGAGGGCATTAGGTAGTGGGTTTGTGGGAGGGTCTTGAGGGTGTCAATGGAAGCCATGGGACAGTATGGAGCGTAGGTGTGCAGTATGGAGTGTGGGGGTGCTGCTATGGAATATGAAAGCTTGAAAAACAGCAAGGGAAGCTTACTGGAGCAACTTGCGATCTTCCCTGCCATCTTCTCCATTGACTTTGCTTACAACATAATTTACCATTTTAGATCCTATGAACAGATCTCCAAAATTGCATATGCTAAAAAAAACAACACACTGACATATCTTTTATGGCGGCTGTCCTTAAGCTGGTACCATCCAGAGCCTTTGGATTTCAACCCCATAATTCCCACTTAGCCTCCAGGCTCTGAAAGGTTAATCTGAAGCTACTTTGGGGGCATATTCTGGGATAATGGATCAATCTGTACAATAATTGCTTGTTTGTGAGTCAAGGATCCAATTGGGAACTGTCACTGCTGAGCTAATTGCATAGAACAACAGAGTCTGGCTTTTTTTGTGGAGACTGGGAAAAAGGGGTAATTGGGTCAAGCGGTTTTAAGATCTACTGGTTTAGTCAATGATGTGGTTGATGGTGTAGTCTGGAGATGGCATCTGCCCAGTTGCTATTAATCCCTTAGGTTGCATCAGGCCTGTCCTTTCCCTCTGTGACTATTTCAGGTGGGGCATCACAATTTAGCAGAGTCCTGCCCACAATCAGTGGTGCATTAACCATTAAGCAGACTAAGCACGTTGTTATGCCCCTGGTGGAGACGGACTCTGAGGAAGAGGAGGAACAGCCAACAGGGAGTGGAAGTGTGGCTCCAGAGGTTGTGGAGGAGGCTGGGGAAGAGCAGAGGCCAGCTGAGCAATCAGAGGAGGATCCAGACCCATTCCCTACCCATCCTAGGGCACGCAGGGAGGAGAGGGTCAGGGAAAAGTGAGGTCTACTCGGGAGGAGAGGGCCATGATCCTCTTCATGGGTTGCAGCTGTGAGCTCTGTATAAGAGTTTGGAACTGCGTGTTCACAGACACTGGAGTCAAATGAGTGCTTTCCTTGGATGAGGTTTATCTTTGCTGGCGTTCTTCCCATTGACTCTCCCCAGTTATCTTCCTGGAATGTGTGATTAATTATCTTGGTTTGCCTTGGAACTCTCATCAATACGTTTTGCTTCCTTATCTACTTTTTGAATTTAAACTGTGACTAATAAAACAGCAAAGCTAAGCTGAAGGCATTCCGAGACCTTGATTCATGCTTTAGTTTTTGTGTTATTTTTGAGATGTTATTTTAGGATACCTGGCCCAAAGGGGGCACCACAAAAACTTTTATGTAGCCTAAGCTTGGCATCGTTTGTACAGTATGTGCAAAGGAGGAGGGCACCAAGATTTGTCAGTGCTTAGGGCACCAGTGAGCCTTAATCCACCACTGCCCACAATGCAAAGTGTTGGCTACCTCTTATGCAGGCTCCTTCTGCCTATGGGTTTATGAGCATTCAGTCCCTTATTCCCTGATCACTTCTTGTTTGGATAACTGCAATGCACTCTACACGGGGCTACCCTTGAAGAATATTCAGAAGCTGCAAATGATGCAGAATGCAGCAATGCAGACAGTTCTGGATAACCCTAGAGTGGTACAGTAACACCTCCTTCACCATGTGCCCTCTTCTGCTCCTGTAACTAGTCAATCAGGCTAGTAGGTTGTGTGTGTGTGTGTATAAACAGTCAAGCTAACAATCATAATCCAAGGTTCGGAAAACCATCTTTTTTTCCTTGCATGGACACTCATAAAATAAGAGTTAGAGTTGTGGCTGATTTTTTAACTTGTTTCACACCCACTCACACCATCCACACATGGATGCCCCTGCAAGCTAGTTTGAAACCCTGGATTATTAGCATTTATCAGGGAAACAGTCCCACATGCCATATTCTTCAGCACACCTTTCCCCCCCCCCCCCCCCCCCCAGTCACCTGGTAGCCTTTCTTCCCACACCCCGAAGAGTAGTTGGAGCCTCTCCCAGTTGGAAGGGAAACACAGCCTGGCAAAAACTCGGCTTGCATTCCTTAACTTCTCCAGCAAGAAAACGGTAAGAGGGCGCTATACTCATCAGCCTCGTTACCGAGCATGGGGCGCAGCAACCAGTGCCTGCAATTTTACACGAGCTCGCTTCTCCGCCAACCTCCCGAAATTAGAGGGAAGTTCGTTAATGTGGATCCCCTGGCTGGCAGCGTCCCAAGTCAAAAGAAAATCCCTTGCAAAGTTCTCTGCCTCCCTTGGCAAACATGCCTTCCTTTAGAGTAACAGCTTCCTTCCAGTCCAGCAGGTGACTGGAAGGCGTCGACCGACTCGATTCCTTTAGGCGCGCCTGAAGCTGAATTCGCAGAAAAGCTTATATAGGCGGGGATCCCTCCCGCCGCCTCGGGCAGGGTTTCGTCTGCAGCGATCGCAGGCTAGTCAAGGAGCTCGAAGTCCAAAGACCAAAGGTTCGGCCCTTTTCTTGCGTGGATCCTCAACCGGGTGGGCGCAGCCGGCCCGCTAAGGTTGCGCAGGGAACTGGCTGAGGGTGTGTGTGGCTCGGAAAAGCAACTGCTGGCGCTATCCGAACTTTTCGGGGCTGCTGCTTTGAGATTTGTTGGCCGAAACCGCGGGAAATCCACTTCCACTGTCACTAGGCTTAGTATTCTTTCGGCGGATTCCCTCAGCGCTGGGGCAGCGGCAACTTGGAAGGCGCTGCTTTTTTTGGCGGGGCCGGGGCGCCCACTCTTACGTCAGCTGTGCCTCAAGGCGGGTTGCTCGCCGGCAAGAAGGTGGTGCTAGGCGCTGAACTGCAACCCTCGGCCCGATTTCTATCTTCTCTCCGGCTTTCCTTTTCCAAGCGGCCCGGCCAGCCATGCCGGGGACCTGCGGCTCCCGGAGCCTGGCGGCCGCTCTGCTCTTCTCCGCCCTGCTGGCCTCGGCGGGAGCGGCGGGCGGCTGTGCCAAGCTGGGACGCTGCTGTTCGGGCAGGAGCATGGAGTGCGCGAGCGCCGGTTGGAGACCCGACGGATCCTACGGGCTCTGCTATTGCGACCAGGCTTGCCTTTCCACCCTGGATTGCTGCAGCGACTATCGGCACTTCTGCTCAGGTGCGTCTCCCCGCGGCCCGGGGTGGGTGGGAGCGGGCGGGAGGGCCGGCACGGAGCTCGCCAGGTAAAGCGGGCCTGGAGGGCGAAAGGCTGGTCCCCGCCTGCTTCTCCCTACGCTCTTTTTTTCTTCGGAGCTCTTTCGTCTCCGCTTCTCTCGCCCGCGCTACGGTAGCGGCTGCTGCGCCTTGGAGGCTCCACTGCTGCGAGTGGCCTGGCAACTATGCCAGTTACATACAGATGAGCAGAGTTGGAAGGGACCTGGTAGGTCATCTAGTCCAACCCCTCCCCAACCCTCCCAGCAGACCTTACCTACACCATTTCTGACAGATGGCAGCCCAGCCTCTTCTTGAAAGATTCCAGGGATGAAGTTCCCACAACTTCTGAAGGCAACTTCTGTTCCATGGCTTGATTACTCTCACTGTCAGAAAATTTCTAAGTTTGCCCAGCTTGTCACTCCCAGAATCCCTGAGCAGCGGAGAAATCCAGGAACGGATTAATAATATCTACGTGTAATATCTGAAAGGACAAAGTCAGGGGAGAATGACCTAGGAAAGTGAACTTTCTTTTGTGGTTTTTGTTTTGCAATGTTAGATCCTCACAGTCGCCACACAAAAGGAGCAGCTGAGTCAAGATGGGAGCTGACTGGAATAGGCAACAGCTAATGCTTACAGAGAGATTGCTTATTTTGTCATCCTGCGCCATTGGCCCCTGGGTTAAAAATGGGAGATTTTCAGTTGTGCCTTCCAAGAGTGTTTAATACTCACCATGCCCATGGAGATGCTACAACGGTCATAAGTGCAAGGACCACTTATTTTTTTCAGTTGCATTGTAACTTTGGACGGTCACTAAACAAAGGGTTGTAAATTGAGGATTAACTGCACATCACCAAAAAGCTTCAGGGGCTAATCTAGGCAGTTGTTAGGATCTAACATTTACTGGAAGGCAGTATATAGACCCGGAAGTGGTACACACACACAGAGCCATCTCTTCCGGCCCGCGAACTGTCACCCCCACCTCAGTTCTACTGCGCATGCAGTAGACCTCCCACACACCTCCCACCAGCCAGCTGATTTTTGGGGTATCTGCTGCACATGCACAGGGGGGCAGGGTGTGGGAGATGCGTGTGCATGCACATTGGGGTCGGGAGGATGGGGGCTCACATGTGTATGCGTAGGGGGCAGTGGTAGCGCAGGGGGTCATGTATGAATACGCGGAGGAACAGGAGGAGTGCGGCGGGGGTCACACGTGCATTGCATTATGGGTATAGGCATGTGTGTGTGCACAAGCGTGTGCAAGCATACACTTTCGGCACACAATGTCCAAAAGGTTAGCCATCACTGATATAGACATTCCAGCTTTTACTGGAATTTTACTCCACAGATCTTCGCAGATGATGGCCACGTTAGAATGCATTTAGCTTTAGAGCAATCTTGGCTTAACAGCAAATGGTGACAAGAAAGGTTGTAAAATGGCACAAGTCTTATTTAACAACTGTCTTGATTAGCAGTGGAAATTTTTGGCTCAATTCTGGTCATAAGTCAAGGACTACCTATATATTTCTTTTGCCTGTCTTTATACGGTACAGTAGTCCTCGACTTACAATAGTTTATTTAGGGACTGTTCAAAGTGTACAACAGCACTGAAGAAAGGGATTTATGACCGATGCAGCATCCCCATGGGCACGTGATTTGCATGGAGATGCTTGACAACTGACTCACATTTATGACAGTTGTAGTGCCACTGGTGCATGTGATCCCCTTTTACGACCTGACAAGCAAAGTCAATGGGGGAAACCAGATTTACTTAACAACCATGTTACTAATTTAACAACTGCAATGATTCATATAACAACTGTGGCAAGAAAAGTCATAAAAGGGCAAAACTCAACAAGTTTCTCACTTAGCAACATACATTCTGGGCTCCATTGTGGTTGTAAGTCAAGGACTACCTGTGTTTTATTTTTTCCATTGACATTAAAGTCTCTGGCTTCAAAGTATTTATCTCATTTTCTTGTGCCCTCCAGAAAAGTTTTGCAAGTCCCATTATCCCCAGCCCAGAGGGAAATGCTTAGCTGAAAATAATTATTGAAGCTGCTCTTTAGGAGAGACTTCCAATCTGGTGCCTTGAAGATATGCTGGGAATTCTGGAAGTCATAGGCATGACCTATGTGAATAGTACTACAATTGGGTAGGCCATGAGAGCTGGAATCTTGGTGCTAGATATAAAATCAAAGAAGCCTCAGGTTAGGCTTAATACAGAATCTGGCTGTGCAATTCTCCTATAACTGCATTCTCCTTCAATTCCTTGCAGGAATTGAAAACTTTATGAAAGTTTTTATGATAACAATGATTTATGGACCAACAGTGTTATAAATGAATTAATTTCCATGGTTCTTCCTCCCCACACTGGTTGTTTAGTTTTTTATTACAACTATTGAACTCTATTTTTTGGTAACCAATCAAAGGTTGATTTAAATGCTGTATTGTATCCTCTAATACTGCCATCTTCTGGTGTTCTGTTGGTATAGCACAATCTTTGGAGTAGAATAAGATCAGTGGCCTCAATATTTCTTGTAAAGGTCAGTGGAATGCTTGTTTGCAAAATAGCCTGTGATCTTTACATTTGATTTCTCTCTCTCTCTCTCTCTCTAAAATTCTCTAAACAAACTCACTTAAATTCCGTGTCATCTTGCTTTGCTAAAGATCAAAGTGATTTAACCCAGTTTTCCCAATCGTCTCTACTTAGGTTTGCAACGTACAGACTTCTCAGCTAGCACTGCCAAGAGCTTTACTTTGGATTCAGCAGAAAAATTTCAGAAGAAGCTTCCTTTATAAAACACTGAAACTGTATACAGTGCATGCAAGCAGAGCCCTGGTTTATTGTATTGCAAGTTTTATTGACAGCCATAGTTGGCTGGGTTATCAGAGCCAGTGAAATGGAGTATAAGATGTCAGGGAAGGAACAAGGAGATCGAAGTTCTAGTTTAATCCCCAACCATAGAAGCCAGCCGATGACTTTGGTCCAGTTGCTCCCTCTCTGCTGTAATCAGTATCAGGCTCTGAAACAAGCTAGCTGAAGAACCCTTCTGGCATCATGCACTGATACGCTTTGCTGAATTAGGTGGGCACAAAACAGGCTGATCCTGCAGCTAAGGGAGATAGTAAGAACAGCAACCTATCAGCCTTACAAAGTTGCTGTTCCTGGGAAGATAGGAGGCAGGGCTGTGTGCGAAGCCTTAAGTTCTTGCATGAAAGTGGATAATTTTTTTTAAAAAAATAAACCAACCCTGGTTTACAAATCTCAGTGACTGGATTTGTGCCATGCACTAAACTAAGACCACTTTTGGAGGGTTTTGAGAAGCAAATGTAGTCCAACCCCCCCACCCAAGCGGGATGATTGTTGGGGGGATAAATTGGAGGAAGGTGCACTGCTTTGAATTCAGAAAAGAAGAGATATCAATGTAATAAATATGAACACGGACTGCAGTGCTTCATCTTCTAGCTGAGAAATCACATTTATGAATATTCCTCCTGTAAATGAAACAACCGATTCTTTGGTTGGAAAATCAGCAGAACAGAGACATTTAGAAAGTCTTTATAACTTGTGGATGTTTTCATTGCAGTTCAGTCTATCATCCTCAAGACTTGCTTCTAAAACACTATCTAAATAACAGGTAGTCTTTGATCTATGACCATAATTGTGACTAGAATCACTGTGGCAAAGCAAGGCAGTTGTTAAATGAGTTGCACCCACTTTTATGAGCTTTTTTTTCATTGTGGTTATACAAACTGCAGTTATTAAGGGAATTGTGCATTTGTTAACCAAATCTGGCTTCCCCCATTGACTTTGTTTGCCAGAAGCTGGCTGGGAAAGTTGCAAATGGCAGTCACATGTCCCAGGACACTGCAACCATTGTAAATCTACGCCAGTTTGGCCAAGTGTCCAGATTTTGATCATGTGACTGTGGGGATGCTGCAATGGTCATAAGGGCAAGGACTGATTGTAAATCATCTTTTTCAGTGCCGTTGCAACTTTCAACCATTGCTAAATGGTTATAACTCGGGGATGACCTATAAACCACAACATGCTCAAATGCTTGTTTAGCAAGAACGATTTGAGATTCTCTTTCTGGGACAGGGGTGTCAAATTCGATTTAATTGATGGCCGCATCAGGGTTGTGTTTGACCCTGGGAGCTGGGTAGGTGTGGCCAGGGTGGGCGTGGCCAGCTCAATGTCATTCGTGTCTGGGGTGCCTGTGGTGGCCCGAGCGCTCTGCTAGCGAAAACAGAGCTTGGGAGGCTGCAACGGCCGCCTTCACCCTCTGCCAGGGAAAATGGAGCTCATGCAGCCTTCCCGAGGTCCATTTTCACTGGCAGAGGGTTGCAGGAGGCCATCGCAGCCTCCCAAGCTCCATTTTTGCTGGCAGAGACACTGCGGGCCAGTCCTTTGCTGTTTCCAGGGTTCGACCCGCAGGCCTTGAGTTTGATACCCCTGTTCTGGGATGTTCACCTGAATGGATCTCCACTTTTAAAAGTAACGTCTTCTTCTTTCTGCAGAGGCCTCCTGCCTGGTCTCTGACTGGAGTGAATGGAGTGGGTGTGCAGAACGCTGCAAAGCGACCTACCGCCTCCGAAGGAGACACGTGACTCAGGAGCCCAGAAACGGGGGAGAAGCCTGCCCTGCTCTTGAAGAGAAAGCTGGCTGTTTGGAGTATTGGACTCAGCAAGGAACACTGTGCAAGGACGCCATTCGTAAGTGGGGGAAGGCAGTTCAAATCCTCCTTTAAGTAACTTTATGGCCGTTATTTTTATATTGCATAACACTAAAGGTCAGTTTGAGAGATGGATCTGATCCCACTAAGCACAGAGACTGCTTCAAATAACAGCTGGATGTTACATGGTCCATTTCTGTGAAGGAATAAGGAAGAAGGGATAGGCAGATTTGGGTTCTTACGTAACGTGGACTCAGTCAGTGCTCTAATTTCCCACTCTATAATTGCTTTAGCTGGAACATACCTTCCATAATGTTATTGCAAGACTTTCCCAGGTGCATAAAAAAAGCAATATTAAGTATAATTTTGCTCTCACTTTAGGATTTAGTTTCCAGCAAAGGGCAACTGCCTTTGAGATTAGCCCTACCAGAATCAGCATTATTATTGTGAAAGGCCTCTATGATCAGGTAGAAAGAACCTCCAAGTAGCTGGATGCTTTCCTACCAAGCTTAGGAACAAATTGGGCAGAATCCAGTCAAGAGTTGCTGCTCTTAAATAGTGAAGTGCAGTATCTTAAAAGGTTATTCATGCAAGAGTGATCAGACCAAGAATAGGACAAGGACAAAGAAAAAGAATGAAAAGAAAGGAGATACTGGCTGACTATCAGAAATAATTTATTAATGGTAAGAGCTGTTAAGCAGTGGAATCATTTATCTAGAGCAGCCCTGGTTTCTCCCCATTGGAAGTTTTCAAGGAGGTTAAATGATTACCTGCTGAAGGTGATTCATTGCATTCTGGTGTGAAGAGAGGGAGGGGTTGGACTAGATGATAAATGGAACATTCTCACTCATACATATTTTTATGATCTGTTCTAGCATTTTAGAAGGTATGCTGAGAAAGCTATGGCTGTTATATTGACACGAATTAATTAGCCAAAATAGGAATGGTATTGTACCCTTATGCATATTTGGTTGTAATCAAAATGAAGCATCATTTCCATCAGCATTTGAACTTCAGCTTATTCATCTTATCACTTCCAGTTCTTTGATGAACCAAAGAACAGGCTGGACTTTAGACTTCTCAATTTTTGTGGAGTCCGTTGGGATCCATTAAATTCTTAAGGGATAAACCAGTTTAACAGATCCACGAAGGGATCTTCCATCCAAGAAGGAAGATCTCCCTTCTTGTGGAGGGAGAAGGTTACTGCCTGTCTGATTTCTCCAGTTAATGATTTATGATAATAAAGGATTCAGATCCATACTCGGTTTTGAAGCTTTACAACATCAATAGTATTTTCTGCAAGATACGTTGGGCCAATGGCATATGCTCAGGACAGAGTGCCTCTTCAGATATTGATGGTTACATGCATCACAACTTTGTCTTTGCATCTCAAGGCTGTTGGGAATTATAGGTCTGCAACAGCTGGAGGTGCAGAGGTTTCTCATCACAGGCATATGGAAATACTTGTATCAAGGCAGCTAAGAAACCTTGAATTGGTTTCTAAAGCAGTGGTGGTATTCTACCAGTTCGGACAAACTGGTAGTAAAAAATGTTATTGTTCAGATTAACTGGGAGTTAAAAACCAGCTACTGGTTCAGCCGAACCGGTATTTCTTTCTTTCTTTTTTTCCCCTTCCAATGATCAGCTGTTCTAATGATGTTCTAAAAAATGGAGTACAGCACACACACACACCATGCACCCCTTCCTCCCAGGAGGCTTCCCTGAGGCCTAGAAGGCAAAAAAAAATGGCGCATGGGGGAGGGGTGCTGCAAAAAAAAGAGGAAGAGCCATGCCCACCCAGTCATGTGGCCATGCCCACCTAGCCATGCCCACAGAACCGGTAGTAAAAAATATTTGCATCCCACCCCTGTCCTAAAGTATCAGTGGAGATCCCCTAGAAAAACACCCAGAAAATGGATAGGCAGTTGTACCCAGGCCTGGGATTCTACCAGTTCACACCTATTCACTAGAACTGGTTGTTAACATTCTAAGCAGTTCAGAGAACTGGTTGTTAGAAGAAATTACTGGCCTAATCCTGTAAGGAAGGTAGGAAGGAAACATTCTGGTGTTGCTTACAGAAATGGCCTCTCCGTTAACCCTTATTACATTTTTGGCAGGACTAGACTTCCTATCTCAGGACCTTCTCTGGAATTTTTTTCCTCTCCTTTGCTGGTACTTTGCTTGTGTGGAGTGACCATTCAAAGTTACAATGGCACTGAAAAAGTGACTTATGACCATTTTTCACACTTAAGACTGTTGCAGCATCCCCACAGTCACAAGAGGCCAGGCGAGGAGATACGTGCCTCGATGTGATATTGAGTTGGTCACACCCAGCCAATAACATGACCACCAAGCTACATCCACCCGGTCACATGACCACCAAGCCACACCCATCATTTAAGCCACGCCCACAGAACCAGTTGTTAAAAATTTTGAATCCCATCCCTGGTTGTACCTCTATATCAGCAGAATCCATGACATCTATCTCAGGAAGAAGAGCAAATGGGTCTCCTGCTGAAGAATTTGGTGCAACTAAAAGCAGTGATGTTCCTTAGCTGGTCCAAATAGGCTTCACTTTATGAGAAACAATCAAAATGGTTTTTTTCTAGTCTGTGTTAAAAGGGTTAATTAGTTACAGTGAACTATTTTTTTCCTTAAAAAAACAAAACACGGTTGAGGCCTAAACAAAAATTATTTGGTGATCAATTCAAATGGGTTGCATTTCTTCCTACCGAACTATGGTGGATTATTAAAATAGCTTCCTTCCATGCTAGAATGATAACAAACAGGCCTGTTCCAACAAGAAAGAAACGGTATGATGATTTCCCAATTCTGCAGTTGGTGAATAATTATTTGTGATCTGGAATTATGGGAGAAAACGTATCTTTGGTTTCCCACTTGCAAACAACAACAAGGCATTAAACTCCATCAGCCTCCCAGTCTTCGCTATTTTGCTGATGTAAATGAGTTTGAGGGTTCAGTTTTCACTGACTGTGGTTATTGTGGGCTTTTTTCTCCCCTCCCCTTCATGTAATCAGTCCCAGCATTAATAACCACCGGAGGCTATGGGAAAGCAAGGAGAAAACGTGCTGTACTCAGCGGGAGAGAAAGAGTTGGGTAAGTTCTGTATTTCGGCATTAAGAATCTATTGTTTTGCCTCCTTTAGTTGCATTGTCTTTCATGGTCAACAATAACACTGTAGTTAACAATCTCGACACTGGGAGAGACTTTATAGTCTCAAGAGAATGTCCCTAACTCTAATTCTGCGTCTCGGTCCCACTCCTTCTACTATAGGTAGTCCTCCATTTACAACCAGCGACCATTCAGAGTTACAATGCATCTTCCCAGGGTTACTTATGACCTAAATTTGAAGTTCCAACAGCCCCCTTGGCCAAGTGACCACAATTTTGGCGCTTGGCAACTGGCCCGCATTTATGGCTTTTTGCAACATCCTGCAATTATGCGATTTATTATTTTTTTTGCCAGAAACCAGAGTTCAGTTTTGGTTTCTGGCAAAAACCACCCATGGAGGACAGTGGCTTAATGACCACTGCATTCACTTAACAACCTTGGTGGTTCACTTAACCACCACCGCCACAAAAAAGTCATAAAATTGTGCGTGTTCACATATAACCTGCTTAATGACCAGTATGGCATAATTTTCAGTCATTATTAAAATTTAAATTAAAGAGCAGTGTGGTGGCCTACAGGTGAAGATGCTCACCTCCTTCTTGGATGGTTGAGAGTTCAATCCTAGGCAGCGGCAGAAGTTTCTCTATCACGGTGCAAAAAGTACATATCTGCTGCAAACTCTGCGTAGGCGTCGGGAAGGGCATTAAACATTCAGCTCCATTCAGTTTCCCTGACTCCACCCTGAAAAAAAGGGAATTATAGGGTTGTAATGAAAAAAAAAATTAACTTAACCCTGCTTACTATATAGTATGTTACTGAAAATGGTTTTAGATCCCTGGCAACTGAAAAGAAGACTTTAAATATAGGACCCACCAAGAAGGATTACTTTATCATCTAATACGTGGCATGGATACAGTAAGCACAGCTGGAAGTAAAGTGGTCCTTAGATTGTGTCATTGCAGGATAAAGATGAATCAGCAGGATTACCTGGCCACATGCAGGTAAACGTTGGGGAAAGTATGCAAAAAAATCTCTGTGGTCCATAGTTTTTATATGCACAGTTTTTCTTCAAACATATGACTACACCTGCAGTCTAAAGTAGAAGCAGCTTTGCTCTTTGTGTGAATTTCTGTAGGCTTACTGTATTACTGTATGAATTACTGTACACCTAAGATTGCAGCCCATCACCCATTTTTCTTGTACTGAATTTCCATTGAATACTATGAGATTTACTGAAGAAAAGCAAAAGAGTCCTGGGGATCAATTCAAAACTTTTTTAGTCTTTCGTTTTTTTTCTCACAAGGGCAACCAGCTACTACTAGGGCAGGGAGTTTCCCCTGTCGCGTTAATCAATAACTGGAATAGCACAAAGTTAAATATGTCCTACTTTCCCGGTAACCACATTAACATGTCCATGCAGGTTTTTTTGACAACACTACAAATCTGTTCTGCCAATATCTTTTTTGAGGATATTTTTTTTCCAAATTCTCAGTTGACTTTTCAATCCTACAATTCCTTGGTTTTATTTCCTCCAAGGGTTAACAACCTGAACTTGCTTAACTTCAGAGCCCAAATAAGATTAGCTGGGTGAGATGAAGAGGCATTCTGGTTTCCAAATGGCCACTTCTTTGATCTTTTCTATGACAGGTATTGTGTTGAGTTCCAGCTCATGGCCATCACAAAAGGCTGCCTACATGGGAACAGTTCCTACACTCATTGGATGAAATATCTCAGTGAAGGGCACACAGTGTGTGTGGAATGTCAACATCCAGCCCTAGATCACAAAAGTCTACACTGCTCTGGGGATGGGAGCGGAGCTAAGAAGTAAGAATCAATTATGTCTTTTACTTAGTGGGAAAATGTGTACTGGATCATTTCAAATTCATTTTACATTGCAAGAATAAAATAATATAAGAGTGAGATTGAAAAGTCCTGGATAACTATTAGAGGGGTTGTTATTGCACATGTCCTATGGTTCTGTGCTGGAGCTTCTGAAGATGCTATCACAAAAAAGGTGTTAAATTTGTTATGCTATAATATGGGCTTTTTCATAAATGCAAAAGCAAAACCTGTTTAACCTACATTGGGTGACAGATTCCTTGGTCTTGACACCAATAAAGCAATGTATCTGAGTTGATATGAGAGGATATGATGAACAAGCCATGCCATCAGATCTTGCTGCAGTAGCTGGGCCATCAGTTGCGGAGGTCAAAAGGTTGAGTGGGTAGAACCATGCAATCAAAGCTTCACTCTTTTTATACGTGTAAAAAAAAACCAATGGGGTTTTGATTGTGGCCATCATTTTGATTTTTAAAACCTCTCCCCCATTGATACCCCAAATAGTAGCTACTAATAACATGTATTTGTGAATTAGTCATGCCTCAAGAAGACAGCAAGGGAGCCATGAGACATCAAAGGTCAACTGGGGTGGCCAGAGTGCAGTGTGATGAGGTTGACCATGGATGAAACTGGGGTGGCTGCAGCTTCCTAGGGCATGTCAAGTCACCCCCAGAGCTGCAGGGTTCTGGATAGAGACAGAGGGGAAATAGGTGAACGGGGAGAGTTGGACAGACCCTAATCTTAATGAGGCTCAAGCTGGGAGAGACCAAGGCCAGTACTCGCATAGCAACCTGCACTTCTCAGTTAACAATTGGAACAATTAGGATTGCAGTCGCTGCAGTCATGCAACATCTCACTTTAGGACCTCAGCGCTTAGCAACATAAATTACTAGCACTACAGGGGACTCCCTGTTTCCTAGAACACTTTTATTATGAGCTCTCATCTATAGTAGTCCATAATGTACAGCAGTTAACTGCTTAATTCCCTCTGGACTTTCACTGCTAATGAACTTAAGTTGCCTTGTTTTAGGACTTGAAATACATTTTGCTTTATACATGAAATATGTCTATTAGAAGCAATAGATGTGCTTAGTACAAAACTAAAGCCCATCAAATACAATTTATTTATTTGTATTAAACAAGAAGAGTAAGCATTTTCTGCACGCATGGTTTCAGTACACAGCTGCAAAATTATTTCGATAGAGACCAATAGGAGCAAGTATAACCGTCAGCTGAAGCTATAAAATATAGTAAAAATGCAAATGAAAGTTAAAGCCTGATATAATTATGTTCTGCCCAGAAATAAATATATGAGATAAGGTGAAACTGAAAATGGAGAATTTCAGACTGTTAGGAGAAGGTCTCAAACTTCCATAAATGTACGAATATTGTATTTCATTTGTTCTGTCTGGAGATGGCTTGCAAGGATGAGTGAATCTTGCCTATCACAAAGAGAACTTTTTGTTAAGCTGAGGTTTTGGCCATACGAACTGGGAATTCTCTGAATTATAGTCTAACCCATCTGAAAAGAACCAGGTTGGGAAAACCTGTTGCGTGCATTTTGATAAAACAAATTAAGCAATGAATTAGAAAAATTGAAAATGGGCAAGAATGAAGAGACAACTACACATGTATCTCTGTGTTACTTTTGAAAGCAGAAATTAGAGCAGTTATTTTAATAATGTGTACCAAACAAATTTTGCAAGCATCATTCTTTTGTACAGTATTTCCTCCCTTGTTTTTGAAACGTTTATGTAAACCTGCTGATACTTTTTTTCATGTGTGCAGATTAGAACTTTGTGCCAACTCTTTCTTGACAAACTAAAGTGTGATTCATACGGTTTCTTTTCCCTTGGACTGTTTATTGAGGACATGTTTTCACAATGGACTCTCCATCTTGATGCCAGGCTGAGGCAGGATTTACCTGGAAGAAGACCTCCTCTTATGCAGACAGTCTAGATTGCATGCGGAAGGGGTGGGCGTCAAAGAACTGCTGGCTTTCAATTGGCCGACTGCAGGACTACTCTCTCCCGTCTTGCTGAGCCACTTGTCCCATGGCTGTGGTGATGGTTGTTTTCCTTCTCCTTTATCTTTTCCTTTCTTTGGTGATTTTGTCAGAGCAAAATTAAGATCAAATGGGGGTATCTCACAAGTTCACGATTCTCACCAGTAGGCTCAGGACAGCCTTAACATACAGTCACCATTCCAGAAGTGGTATTCAGCAGGTTCTGACCAGTTCTGGAGAACCGGTAGTGGAAATTTTGAGCAGTTCAGAGAACCAGCAAATACCCCCCTCTGATTGGAGATTTTACAGTATCCTTCCCCTGCCACGCTCACCAAGCCACACCCACAGAACCAGTAGTTAAAATTTTTTGAATCCCACCACAATCCCTTCCACAATGCTAACCATAACCCCCCTTGCCTTCACTATCCCATTTTTTCCCCGGCTGTCTTGCCCACCACTAAGCACTTGGACCAACTACGGATCCTTCATATGTTTTTCTGTAGATTCCTGCTTATATATGCAGCTCCATACCTGGAGATCTTACATAGTAGAATGGAGGAGCGAGGGAGGGGGAAAGAAAGGCCAAACATTGGTTGTAATCATGGGCCTTATAAGTAGTAGTTGCCTTTAGAAAGGTACGTGCTGAAATTTTTAGAACAAACCTTGGAACAATTCAGCTTCTGTTTCCTCTCCTGTTCTTGTCTTTTTATAGTTTGCGATACTTTATGGCAGCAACACTACTGGCCTAAATGTTGATGTTAAAACAATTTTTGATCATTTAAGAGTTCATTTGAGAAGCAGTTTTTCTAAATTAAACATTATCTATTTTTAATTAAGGTGAAATTCTCCCACCTGGGTCAATTTCTAATTATCTGAACAACTTTGAAAGAGAAACCTTAGATTTCTGAATTACTTCATTCCATTTAATGGCTTAATGTTCTTTGTTATTTGTACTTTTGTTTGCAGCTGGAATCTCTGAAGAGTGTGGATTAATATCTCTTAGTCTAGGTGCCTTCCAGGTGTGTGAATTTCAGTTCCCAGAATTCTCAGTAATGGCTGTACAGGTTGGGAATTCTAGGAATTGGAGATCACCAATATCTGGAATGTGCAATGATTGGGGAAGATTGGAATATCCCCTTTCTTCTCATTCTTCCTTTGTTCCTTGAATCCAAAGCCTTTATACCAGGAATATGCTATTTTTTTTCATACTGAAGGTCATGGGCCTCTGACTACCCTATTGGGGATTATGTTTCAGATAAGTCAGGAGAAAAAAATTAAATGTGATTAATTAAGTTAGACTGAATGCATTAATAAATATTCAGTGAGCTTGAGGACAGTTTTTGGAGTGTCTAAGGGCCACACAATTTTTTGAGTCACCCAGATGCAGACAAAGAGGCACAGAATATGCCTGCCTCAATTATTCCCATGAGTTTTTATTTCTTTTTTCTATAAGACGAACAAATATTCAAGGTTCATTAATTTTTTGCTGTTTGGATACGTTCCTCTTCTTTTGCTCCCTAAAAACAAACAAACAAGAAAGTGTAATACTGTTGAACTACTACAGTTTCACCTCCAGGGAAATAGTTTCTCAGTTCTGAATGGCTTCATGGCTTCAGGATGTCAACTAGCTTAATTCGCATGCGAGTTATGGCTGCAATGTTTTGTTGAATCAGCAGAGCCATGTCTGGAATGCCTCCCGAGGTTTCATTTGGTGCAACTGGAGACATCTGTCAATATTCCTATCCTTCTTGTTTCTTCCTGAAATAGACTTAGAGACATTGATCAAATCTACTAGGGGATATGGTGACATGAAGATCTCTCTGCCATGATCATTTGAGAAGATAGAACAGTTGAGAAGATAGAATGGAGGGTGAGAGGAGAACACGCTCTGAAGATCATTCATCTATTCAAAGAATTCTGTGAAAGGATAGAATGGCTGTGAGATTTCCTCTTCCTATTTAATGGCAAACTTAGGTGATGGATGGGAATAGGACCGGAGCCAAAAAAACAGTTTGGAGAAACCCATGGTTTACAGAAATAAATACTCCTTCAGCATCACACAGATACTTCACATTTTTAGCGCCTTGGACAAATTAACTCTTAAGTTCATTTTGTGCCTGATCAATTTATTCAGTACATACGGGCTTAAGAAATTGATTCTAAAAACTGCAATCAATTTGTATACCATAGATCTTTGGGTACTTAAAACAGGCAGCCTTTAAAGTGAAGGAGTAAAATTTAGGATGGTTTTTTTTTTAATGAAATGCTACTGGAAGGTTCAGGACTGATTAAGCAGTACTGAGATTTGCAAAAAGCATGTGTTAGAAAAGCCAGTGTATCTTGCTTGCAAAGATTAGTTGTTCCTTAGGATTTGCAGGAAGATATGAGAGTTATGGAATGCAGGTTTGCAACATATGTTCATGTGCATACATCTGGGGAAAGAAGGAAGGAAGGAAATGCTTGTCTAGGAATAACCTGCCACCATCGCTGTCCAGATTTGCGACAGATTAATTGCCAGTCTGCACATACTACCTTGATAAAGTAGGGTCAGAGAAAAATTAGTTTTGCATCCAAGATTTCTTCATCATATATTTCTGCAATTGGATTGCAAAACCTTCTATGTTACTAGGAATATAAAGGATCTGATTCAGAATCCTTAACTTGCAAAAAGCCAGACATGTACACCAGTGTTTTCTCATCCTTGGTAACTTTAAGATGGGTGGACTTCAACTCCCAGAATTCCCCCACTAGCTATGCTGGTGGGGGAATTCTGGGAGTTGAAGTCCACTCATCTTAAAGTTGCCAAGGTTGACAAACATCAAGACGACTAAATGTCTATGGAGATTCTCAGTCATCCAAGTCACAGTTTTCTCAAAGGTGCTTTTTTTCAAGAGGCAACTGAACTTTCTGGTTTTTCTTTGAAGACGTTTCGCTTCTCATCCAAGAAACTTCTTCAGCTCTGAAGAGAAACGCTTGGATGAGAAGCAAAACGTCTGCCAAGACAAACCAGAAAGTCCAGTTGCCTCTTGAAAAAAAAATCACCTTTGGGATCAAGCCCACTATTGTCTGCTTTTGTTGGCAGTTGCTGTCTGGTATTCAATAGCCCTCTTATCCTTCTGTCCTTGGAGAAATGAAAATACCACTTCATGGCATGCTTTGTTTTGTTTTACAGGAACCAGCTACTGCACTGGCAAGCTGTGGGGAATCCGAGATGTAGAGGAACCTGGAAGAGGGTTCGTCAGAGGGATACTTGCACTTGTCCTTCAGTTCACAGCTTTTTGTTCATCTGACTTTTCATATAATGCCACCGACGTTGATTTTATCACTACTGTAGTCTTCATTTACAGAAATTCAGGGAATAAGGTGCAACCTGCTGCATGGACTTTTCAACATTCTTCCAATGTCCAAAGCCCTACCTCTCACTCCCAATATTTTATGTTTCCAAGTATATTGAATAGCAGCATTTAAAGAGGAACCACTGTAAGAGAGAGCCAGGATCGTAAGGTTTTGATCTGAAGGCAGACTCTGATGAATGCAGATGGATAACCTTGTCTCACTGCTCAATTTGGATCATCCTCAAGGTGCACAAAGCAGTTGCCTCTGAAAATTAAAATATTTCAAGTTGAGCTAGTCTTCACATATTGCTCACCAAGTTCTCTTTCTGAGTTTATCAACTTCTTCCATTTCGACAAAGCTTATCTGCCTAAGACAGCTGCAGTGAACCTGGAGACAGTCAAAGAAGAGCAAACGTGATCTAATCTTTCTGTTCTATGTCCATCCACAGACTTTTATAATCTCCTAAATCTTGTATCAAAGCCTGAGCTTAAGGAATTTTGGTAACATTTCTTGAAATTAGTACAGGATGGTTTATGTTATGTGCAGAGATAAAGCACTCTGTGATACTTATCACAGGATTCAGCTTCCCAAGAATCTCCTTCCCTTATGTTTCAAAAGTTTTTAGATTTTATGACTGCTGCCAAGCTATACTTGGAACTTTTAGTGCCTACTGTAATCACGGAAGCTGTAGATTGTTGGAAATGATTTCCAGGCATGTAACTTTTCGTTTCATGGCAGTCCCCTTTTATATTTAAATTGCAATCGCTGAATATACTGTATACTGTAGTTCCAATATCCATATTTTCATACAATTTGCACCAGCAATAGATTTCAGGATTTGTACTTTCATACAGAATTTCATAATTCTTCTGCATGTACTCAACTAAACTGACAATCTGAGCTAACCCTGTATATTTTAAAGTCATCTGCTTCATTTTTGTGAAACTGGAAAATATGCTGGTTAGTTTTTCATTCCTTAAGGTCTCCTTCCTTAAGTTTCTGCACAAAACAAAAAGCCAAAGAAATATTGGCAATTGGACAGTAATGATTGATGTGGTCCCTAGAAGGTTAATGGCAGCTTTAGGGAGGCAATTTATATTGGGAAAATTGCATACAAGAATGACTAACCTGTAGATGCACTTCTTCACAGTTTCTTCCACTGGGAAGCCCACTCGTGGATATTGTTGTTTAATGGATTCTTGTGTTTTGAATCTCTATGCTTCCTTGTGTCTTCCTTTGATTTTGATGAATAAGAAAATAAGGCATCTTTTGATTTGTCTGATCAAGGTAGAATTCAGATGTCTCTGTAGACTAGCTTGGCTTTTCACTCATTGACATGTGGGGATGCTCTAGGGTAGGGATGAGGCAATTAGCTGCAAATAAGTTGGACAACATGTTGAGATCTTTTTGGTTCTTTGTAAGAGGGTCTTAAGTTCCTCTTATAGTAATAGCACTTAGACATATATACTGCTTTATAGTGCTTTACAGCCCTCTCTAAGTGGTTTACAAAGTCAGCATATTGCCCCCAACAATTTGGATCCTCATTTTACCCATCTCAGACGGAAGGATGGAAGGCTGAGTCAACCTTGAACCTGGTGAGATTTGAACTGCCAAATTGCAGGCAACCGGCAGGCAGCAGAAGTAGCCTGCAATACTGCACTCTTACCACTGGGTCATCATGGCATTATGAAAATAGGCTCCTTGGTGTCATCACCCATGGCTGCAGTATCTCTCAAAGGGCTCCAAGACAGAACAACCTCCCTGAAAGAAGTTGTCCATTCCTCTCCAAAATTATGACAGTATCAGATTAAAGAGTTTAAGAAACTGGAAACCTGATTTTTTTTTTTGATGAAGTGCTTTATATAAACAAATGTATGTGCTCTGTTAGTAATATTTGAGTGGGATTATTCAGTTAAAACATAAATTATGGCTAGGGATCCTAGAATTCAATGATGATCATGATTACATTGCAGGCCTCTTGCTGGATTGAAATTTGCTGCCACTTTTCTCCAGTTAAAATTGTTTCCTATATATACTCTGTGGCACTGTGGTTAGAATCTACTACTACAAATTGACTCTGCCCACTGTCAAAAGTTCAATCCTGACCAGCTCAAGATTGACTCAGCTTTCCATCCTTCCAAGTTCAGTAAAATGGAGATCCAGATTGTTGGGGGCAATATGCTAACTTTGTAAACAGAAAACAGATAATCAGAGTTGGAAGGGACCTTATAGGTCATCTAGTCCAACCCCCCACCCAAGCAGGAGACCCTACACCATTTCTGACAAATGGCAGACCAATCTCTTCTTGAAGGTCTCAAGTGATGGTGCTACTCAGACATTATATGAGGCGTGTCCATATATGATATCCTGTATAAAATATTGATTGACATCCAAGAGATAATAGCAAAAGAGAGGTCCTTGACCCATCCTTCTTAGGTTCACTTCTATCCTTTATGCCAATGACATTGTAAAATAGTGGGTTGGATAGTACATAACGAAAATCTCGAGTCTATTTTGAGATCTAAGTATCAGATAAGGATGTTCAATTCTAGAAATTCCCATTCTATCCCAAACCAATGCTTGCCCCATATCTCTACTTCACATTAAGCTGGTGTTACATAAAATAATTGATAGACGGAATGGCAAGGTGAACACCTGCTTTTTTTTCCAAAGAAGCCAGACTGGCATATTTATTAAACCATAGGTATAATACATTATTATCGAGCAGATATGACATACCAGCAGTCAGTGCTGGCTATTCAGTGGACCATCTCCCCAAGTGTCATTACGACCAGGTTGGATTTACTCTGAATAAAGGGTACACATCTTATCTTTAGGCTACAGGGCAGGAATTGAGTTCTATTGACTCTGAACCAGGGAATATTGGGAACATTTTCTCTTTGCAATGTTGAAATCACAAATTGGAATTGTGTTATGAGCATGTAGCTACACGTAGCTATGAGCAAGTAATTCGTTAAAACGATTAGAATCAAGCTGTATGTTACACCAGTAGTCTACTGGGAGATGTCCAACTCATCTATAGGGCCATTATGAGCCATGGTGGCACAGTGGTTAGAGTGCAGTACTGCAGGCTACTTCTGCTGATCACCGGCTGACTGCAATTTGGCAGTTCAAATCTCACCAGGCTCAATGTTGACTCAGCTTTCCATCCTTCTGAGGTGTGTAAAAAGAGGACCCAGATTGTTGGGGGCAATATGCTGACTCTGAAAACCGCTTAGAGAGGGCTGTAAAGCAGTATATAAGTCTAAGTGCTATTGCTATTAAATTGAAGTAATGTGATAACTGTTTACTGTGGCATCTGAATAATGTCCAGCATCTGAAGAAGTTACCTAGTAATAAAACATCTGCAAGAAAACAACCAAGTTCAGAGAACACCAAAAACCCCACAGTTCAACCCTGAGTTATAAATATTCTCTTCTATTAGAACTTTAACCATCAGCTATTGCATAGCCAGGATATGGAAAGAGCTGTTTGTTACAATGGAGCATATTTTTATGGATTGGAGTGCTTTTATGTGAGACTCTTCTGTTTATTTATGTCTGTGAAAATGGTTAATGTACAATGAAGCAGATTGGCAATATGAGATTCCAATATCAGTTCTAGCAAATACAATGTTGACATTATAATTTATCTTCCGGGTGGACATATTAGGCAAGAAGCCAGCAGAGCAGAATCAGGCAATTGCAAATATTCTTGCTCAGTATTACCCTCCCTGTGAAAATATTCTTTTGTGCTTGAAACAATAAATGTATACAACTAGGACTTCAAGGAATACCGCTGTGAAGAAATTTAATGCATGAAATTGACACTGCAGGGGAAAAGAGTCACTTCTATTCCAGTTGTCCCCAAATAAACAATTCTTGAAATTGAGTTCCCGTCAAGAAAAGTGTGTGTAGAATCGGCTTATCTTAAAAGTGCTGCTGATCCTGAAGAACCAGGATAATTCTAGGTCTCTTTGCAGTCCATGAACCTACTAAAGATTATGTGCTTCAAAGTTACTCAATTGTTTGAAAGGTGAATGTTTTACAGTCCTTTCTGTGCAAACAACCTCCCGTCTGGGGGGGGGCAGTTCCTAGCCTCCTGATCTGCTTGGTGTGATTTCAATGCTTTTCTCATGCAATTATCTCTGGAGTAGGCAGAGCTCTTGTGCGATAGGAATTATATCTGTTTATATCTCTTTCGTGTGCATGGAGTCTATATTGCAGATAGTGCAGTCCTGGTGAAAAAGATGTCACAATGCACAACAGAGGTACAACTAAACAGGACTATGTCATGCCTTTGAAGCTGCTGCCTCTCTGTGGCCCCACCCATGCGTGTAGAAGTCTGGTTTGGCTCTACCAATAATTTCAACCAAGCCTTTGCAGAAATTTATTAAAATTTCATTGATGAAAGTGAGCTTCCTAGAACTCTATAGAGAGCAAAGCAGGGTGTAAAGGTTTAAAACAAATGCTCAAGCCAAGAGGTGTGTTTGCATATCAAGGGGCAAACTTCACCATTATCAAATTGACTCAGTTCTTTGGAAAGAGATCATTTGGTTTGCAAAATATACAAATAAGCTCCATAGATATAGGCATAAGCTTCAGAAGGCATTGCAGACTGAATGTGCTATATTATAGAATAATGGAAATATAAAAAAGGAAAAATGTGCAGCTCAAAAACTGGTACTGCAGTGAAATCTACTAATATGTTCCACAAGAGGGCAGCTCTCTTCTTTTAATACCAAGCCCATATAAGTAATTCCTGTTTTCTTTTACCTTTTTAAAGTCTGGAAATCATAGATGGAAAGTTAATATTAAAATAAGATGGAAAGGCTGTCACAAAAGACAATTTTTTATCCATAAATGTTAAGAATCAACATCCAACCCAACTAATAAATCCTTACCAGCTTTCCCAGTACCGTTATGTTTTAGCTGGGTCTGAAATCACAATGGCAGGGGGAAGGAGGAAGACACAAAGAGACATATCTGAAAGAAAGAAAAATACTTTTCTCAATCTGTTTCCACCCCTACCCACAACCTCCATTTCCCTAGCTTTCATATTTCTGGAAATATTATACACTCTGATAAAAAGGACTTAGAGCTGTGACAGTAGAGGGGGTGGATAAAAATAGTTCCTGTCTCTTTTTCCAAGTCTTTCCATCTTCAAACTGCAGTAATTATTCTTTTTTAATGCAGATCAGAATTGCATTATGCACGAATAAGATTGCTGGCTTTACTTATAGTCTTTTTTAAAAAAGGGATGTGAGCTTTCCCATGGCAACTGTGTCTCTTTTGCTATTGGTTATAATGGAAGAAGAGATGAAGCTGATAGATTTGGTCCAAATATTTTATCAGGTGTGACTAACTTGTGTTCTAGCAGGGGGCTATATCTTGATATTTCTGGATCAAGAGGACCCATAATGTCTAAATAATTTGCTTTGTCTATAATGCAAGCAATAGTCTGTGATAAACACAGCACAACTCAGAACATATTAATTCAGATTTTGACAACCAAGAGAAAAAGCCACTCCTACCCAGCTGTTACTGATAATACAAAGTGAAGACACTCCAATTCTTGTGAGTTTAGCAAGATTGTCTCTTGGCTGAACATCCTGAAGACTTTTAACTCAAAACCAAGGTGTCCAAGCAATTTTCTCTCTCTCCCATCTGTCTGTCCGTCCGTCCGTCCATCCATCCATCCATCCATCCATCCATCCCACTTTTAGGCCTCCCAACTCCAGGAACTCTGGCCAGCTTTACATCTTTAAAAGTAAGAAGAGAACAATATTATGTCAGAAAAAAAGTAGTAGCTCTAAGGGAAGGGCATCAAATTCTACTTCATTGATGGCTGCGTCAGGGTTGTGTTCGACCTTGGGGGGGGAGGGGAATGGGTGTGGCCAGGGTAAGTGTAGACAGCTCGATGTCACTCATGTCGAGGGCACTTGTGGTGGCCCAAGAACTCTAGCAGAAAATATGGGCTCCTGAGCTCCATTTTTGGCTGCAATTGCCTCCTGCAACCCTCTGCCAGCAAAAATGGAGCTCAGGAGGGCCCCGATTTTCCCTGGTATAGGCACTTCACTGTGTCCAGGGTGGCCGCACGGGTCAGATATAAGCACCCCACAGGCCGGATCTGGTCCCCGGGCCTTGAATTTGACACCCTTGCTCTAAGGGAACACTTCCCCACCCCATCACTCCCAGCCTAAAAGGGCCTGCCAAATCCCCTGACCTTAGCAAAAGAACCAAATTTTTAGGGCTCACCTGAAGGCAAGTAAGATGGGGGAAACATAAGAATCTTTAGGTGGATTATGCCCCAGATTATACCATGCTTTAAGAAATCATTTTGATTTAGGCAACATGCAAAGACAATAGCTGT